GAACTTGAGGAATCAGAATATCTTCTGTCAAACTCACCCTGCGCTTCCTAATCGCCGAGGACGAAGGTAGTTAAGAATGATGGTCTCTGAGAAAAGGTTACCAGCAATCGTATTGACTGAAAATACTGTTTATCCATCGCAAAGTTGAATATAGAAATCAAAGACCATTTGACTGCGTCTCTATACATGCCTATTACAGTCAAGGTGAGCTTTATCTATGAAGAACATAAGACGAAGAGGAAATCGTCTATAACCAAGGGCAATGTAAAACATGAAAGGGGTCAATCGCAGTCACCCCACTCTATCCCATGGATGCGTTGTGCAAATCCATGCTTGTGACTTGGATATTGACTGAATCGTGAACATTGGGGTAATTGGTTCGCTCAGCCTAAATTGTAAATTAAGGTAAATTAAGGTCTCTCTCATTTGGCTGTTTGATTCTGTTCAGTTTAGGTTAAACTGTCTTTAATTTCGCACACTGATACTCCCGAAAAGTTTGGTTTTCGTGAAAACATGTACCGGGGGAAGTTGAGACTAAATCGGAAAATCACATTCAAATTCAATCTGAAGGTGGGATGTTCTCATCTTTTACCGAATTACGCAACCGGTTATTGTGAACAGAGGGGCTGGCAATCGAAAACCACGCTCGATTAAATTTCAACACACTATTTCAGAGCCAAAATGATTCATTGATTGAAATCACGTGGATCAGGGTGAAGTGAAGCGAAGTGAACGTACCAGTGTGTGAGACTTAGCTGTACGACCTGTTACACTTAGTCACAGACCAAGTGAGATATGTGAACCGAACTCAGGAAGAGAAAAGCGATCTCCTCGACCTAGTTCACCGGTCAGTCTTGGCTGCAGCTTATTGGCTAATCGCCAATGTGTATTTTCACTTGTCGCTCCCTTCCAAAAACATGCACAGAACGAGATCCAGTCATTTCAGTGTGAAACGTTTGAGCCCTCGATTCCGTGTCAGACCTTGGAAAAATTCTGCGGCACGGAACAAAACCGATGCTTTTCAAAACGATGAGACTCAGTTTCAGTGATATGTCTCACCAGATAGAATTAGTGGTGGGATACCCGGAGGAGTCTGTTACCAGCGAAACACCAATTCGTACCTCACTGGATAGCTACTAACAGTTTAACTTTGGAACCATCTGCAGTTAGGTTGTGGTCTCATTGTTAGGCCTAGCGCTGGAGGACAGTCTTTGGTGATAGACTGGTAACCGACGTATCAGGAATAAAAAATCGAAAATCCTCGTGTGGGACAAACCTAAGTCTGAAATTACTGAACCAAAAATGCATTCGTTTGCGCAGTTCCTCGTCCTGTATGCAGAACAGTAAAATGACGCCCATTCGGTTCGGCTTATTGGACTCCCGGCTGCCATGGTACAGTAAGTAACTATTGTTCAATTTATGCTTTTTGACCGGTTGAATTCTGATTCTCAAATTGTGAATTGCAGAGTTCATGCACGGGTTCGAATTCCGTCGAGACTACAGAACTTTTCACAAATTAAGTTAGTAACTATGTTCCATCTGATCCTGTTTACAGTGTCGACAAAAATGCACCCCCTTGGGATGAGTAACGTGAAAAAGAAAAGGGAATATAATGCAAATAGTTGAGGTTGAGTTTGTACTTTATACAGGTTTGAATATTCCTATCATGAACAAAACAACTTGAGTGGGTGGGGACAAGGGACAAAGTAGATAGGGAAAGGAGGGAGGGAGGAGCATTAGAAAAATACAAAACAGGAAACCGATAATGGGCAAGGTGTGTGTGTGTGTGTGTGTGTGTGTGTGGTGGAACTGAGGGGAAACGGGATGTGTATAAGTGTGTATGAGAGAGAAAGAAGGCGGTTGGAGTAGAACGGAACGGGGCACAGAGTTATGCCGCCAACCGTCAGGAGTAAGATATATATATATATATATGTATTTATGTATGTTAAACGACAATGAGAGATAACAGAAAAGAAACGGAGGGAAGCGCTTTGAAACGAAAACTGATCCTGTACACAGCCAAGCGCTTGTGTGCGCATACACTTCAAATCAAATTCTCCTGTCCTTGCCGCCACACCACCCCNGCCCTTTTCCGGTGCCGCCGCTCCCCTCTCCGTCTGTGCAACAAATGATTCTGTGGCTTCACGCGGGGGGGGGATATAAATAAATAAATCCGTGATGAATGTGCACGACCGGCCATGCGGAAGACGATGAGACGCGATGGCAACACTGTACCGGTGGTGCTGCAAAGGATGCTGCTTCAAAGTGGATGCGGAAGCATGAAGGATAGATTTGTTTAGAATAACCTGAACTAACTGTATCCTGATGTGTATGTATGTGTGTTTGTGTATAAAAAAAACCTGGCATACACTTTCCGAAGTGTACGAGACCGTTCAAGAAAACGGAAAATATAAGTGATCTTGACAGTGTGTGTGTGTGTGTGTTTACCTGTACGTGGAGAACAATGAACCTGAATGGTGGATGCAATCGGCATTGGAAGTACACACGCGGTTGCTCAGATCCGATAGAACGGAGGGGGGAGGGAGTTAACAATTCCCAGCAGGTTTACGTTTCTGGAACGGATCATGGTGGGTGAAATCGATCGTGAGTTGCTGTTGCTGTTGTTATTGTTGCTGCTGCTGCTGCTGCTGCTGCTGTTCTCTGTCTCAGGAACCATATCCTCGGCTTGCATCGGTTGTTATAACTAATCTCATTGTTTGGATATAGGTAACCGATGAAGCTGTCATGGTTGTGTTTAGTTTTTAACAATTATGAAGGTGATGGTGGTAATGATATTTTTCAGTCCAGTTGGAATTGGCCTCGAGATTGCAGGCGATAACAGACTGAAAAATAAATTTTTAAAAAGAATATGTAAATAATTTTATCAAAAAGCAATCAGTAGGTTTCTTTGCAATATCGTTGTTGTTTCACATTACTGTTGAGAACAAACCATGACAACCCTGCTTCGAACCCTTTTTGTGCTTTGTGAATACGATTAAGCGATACGGACAGTTAAGCCCTGAAAATAACCCCACAGTTTACCTCTAAACTGATCACTGGTGAGTGTCAGCTTGTCAACGGTTATAGAAAATACTATTTGGATGGAATATGACTCGATGAGAGAATTCAGCTGCACTGATTGATAAACTATACCCAAATGCTTTTATCAAATTGAAAAAAGCAAAAAATGAATTAAAACTTACTGAGATTGGAAACGGTTGAATATTATGGATTTTGTCCTCATCTTAGACATCATCCTCCATCGCATGTGGATCTACCACTTCAGATTGTCGGTGAAATCCCTCCTGAAGTTGGGAAACACTCTGCCCGTTAGTTGCACTGTCTAGACCGGTATATCTGTCATTATTTGACTCAGGCCGGTGATCCATTAAACCTTCTGGCCAACCGTTTGCTTGCTTGGCCACAGCAGCAGCCGCGGCCATGGCAGCCGCCCAGATCGGTAGGAATCCAGGCAACGAATTTTGCGGATAGGCCGATTGTGAAGACATGTGGGTCAAGCCGGGAGAATCGATCGATCCACCAGTGCAATGTGTCTGCTCGTTCGGAGCCACAGTGGTTGGGGGGAAAATTGTCGGCAATTGGGCAGCAACGAGGGATGATAGACCCAGTGGGAGAAATGGAGGCTTTTCAACTTGTCCCATGGGTTTCGTCAATTGGTCCATGGCAACTTGACGCACACTCAGTCGATCCGTATTCGCGATCCGGTTGAGCATGTGAGTATGTTTTTGGAGGTGATTCAGTCCAAGTCTTCTGGCTCGTGCCACCTCCTCGTGTTTTCTGGCATGCTGAAGCATTGTGCTGGGACGTATAAACGCGTAATCACAATTTGGATAGGTGCAATGGTAGTGTTGATTCATTCGTTTGCTGTGACACGTCGGACGTCGACAATCCACACTCCGATCAAAATGTTCAAAACCGGGGGCAATTTTCACGTGATTGTGAAACTCACGACGGTGCACATTCATTAAGTCCAAACTCTCCGAGGCCATATAGCAACGAGGTCGAACACAGTGATAGTGTTCCACCCGTTGTATGGAATAGTCACATAGATCGTCCGGACACTGTTCGTTAGTGATGTACAGTTTGACCCCACCAACTATCCGCACTTGGGATGTGCAGTGAGCCGAAAGCCGCTCGGTAAAAAACATATCTCGAGTCAGATCAGTGGCTGCACAATTATCTGTGCACAGCTCGTCCGGGAGTTGCGGTCGAGGCACTCGAATATATTTGGTATATTTCGGTGGTCGACCTCGTCTTCGTGGCTGGTGACCGGCTAGTGGACAGGGGTTTGTATTGACTTCGTTAAACGAAATGTTCCCGCTAGGTTGATTGGGAGAAACAGACTGTCTGGAAGTGTTAATATCCCGGCCAGATAGGGTATCTAGCCGTTTCCTTTCAACTGACGGTCTAGCAAATCGCGCTTCGTGAGACACTAAATGACTGAACGGTTCAAACGGATCTTTGTCACATAAACGGACCTTGTACGCACAAGCAGGCCAAAAGCAGCAGTGCATATGTGGATCTTCCGGTGGATTGGGGCAACTAGAATCCGTCATTGTACAAGATGAAAGACCGCATTTCAACACTGAGGCCTGCCAGACATGTCTGGACCAGTGCGGACAGAATAAAACCTTATCAGCATCCTCTTCATTGTCGTCGTCATCATCACCATCATCATCGTCATCATCGTCGTCCTCTCTAATGGAATGCCGTTCGTTCAAATCATTCGAGATATCAAGCACTGGCTCGGTTGCACATTTGGGCCAGATACAGAAGTGACTGGAGTGATTAGAGATAGCCGGATCAGACACCCGGGTATTTGACTGTTTGTTGTGATCACTGGGATTGTCACCGTTGGCATCCTCATCATCGGCATCCTCGTTGCCTGTTTGATGCTCGTGGAACTGGTGAACCAGTCGAAGGATCAGGTGTATATCTGAATCTGGTGCATCTTTTGGATGCTCAACCTCTTCGGTATTCTCACCTTCAATTTTCCAGTCCTCATCTATATCACCTGAACATACATGTTGCTGTGGAAAGAGTATTCGTAACGTTCTCTTTTCCTCTTCTTCGTTACAGTTCCCAGGTAGAAGGAACGTGACACTGGATTCCTTCCGCTTGTTTAAACATTTTTCAAACAAGCAGTTGGCTTTACGGTAAACTTTATCACTGATTTGACTGGTCAAATCCTGTACGGGACTGAGCATTTCCCGCGGTCCCGAAGCAAACGGGGAATTCTCACTGGGGGTTCGAGGAGTTAGAGCTTCGTCCTCCTGTTTTCCCGCGGACAGGGGATAACATTTCATGTCCAATGGCTCACCGAAATCCGCAGCCCCTGGGGACAGATCGTATGGGGACGGATTGGATTGAGACACATTCGGATCAGCACGCAATGCGGAATCAAATGTCAAATTGGATAGATCAGTAAATTGGGCCGGATCACTATGCCTCGGGGTCAAGTGGGAGAAACGACGGTCGTGTTTGCGTTTGTGCGATAAGATTTGACTGGACGAATGCACAACGTAGTCACAACCTGAAACAACAAACAAGACAAGTATGCATGAAATCTTGTACAGTTATCTGATAATCGGAATGACTTTTGCGGGAAAGTTTGTCCTTATATATGTTCGAATAGTGTAAAATGAAGGCTAGGGTTAATGCCAGTCAGCGACCAACTATTCCACTTGCACCCTTAAATGTCACGCTTCAGTTTCGTCTACTGAAATGATAATCAGTAATAAATTTTCCCATCAATAATAACTGAACTTTTTACATAAAAAGGCAGTTAGGCTTGTATCGCCTAAATCGTTGCACACGTATGCGCGCATTCAGCTGGACGATATCCGGAACAAAATTTTCTTTGAATTCTACTCGTTGCAATATTGCAGTATCCAAGGGTAACAAGCGGTTAGAACCTGACCATTCGAAGGGAGTAGTTGAGTGCTGGACCCGGAGAGCACTGCGTCCTAACACAGTTGATCATGATGCTGGCCAGGATCGAAGTTACGCAATTAAAAAACGAGAGATGTGATGAGTGCAGTTTCACACTTTTTTTCCATAGAACGTTATCGGTTTGAAGTTCTTTACTGAAGAAACTTCTCGCACTCCAGAAGTGACCTCATTTGCCAGAGTGATTTTAACAAAACGCTCAGGTGTTCCGCTGTTAGCTTCGTGTTATACCCACACAGAGAAAGCTAGTGAGCGGGCCAACTTTTAGCAGCAAATTGAGCAAATGAATATAAAACTGAATTTTACCAGGGACCAGTGAAAAGGTGTTATCCAATAAGAAAAACACCCGGTTTATTAAAATGCACACACATCCACGACGTTTGAGTACTGGTAAGCAGTGCTGAATGCGGTTTTCTGATCGTGCTATACAAACAATTTGCTCTGAGTTACACCAACATAGAGTTTCGAGTCCCATCATGCATACTCGAACGCTCGAACGTAGATTATTTGAAAACACTCCCCGGCTGTTTTATCTGACCACGATAGTTAGGCGGTCACGTTGCTCACTCATCGTCAAGTAAATTGTGGGTTTTCGAACCCCGTAACCCTCGCCTGACATCCCTATTTTGTAGTTGACTGTAAACAATCAATCAGATCCCTCTTCATGAATACTGACAGTAGGTTTGCGTGTGTTAAAAGTAGGCGGAATAAAGGAAAAGATCACTATGGCACTATCAATCATGGGGGAGTGCAATGAGACCTATACATTAGGATTCGAACCCAGACACACGGGTTTGTCGATTCAACACGCTAAGCACTTGGCAGCTGGTCTTCTGTCAATCCCTTCACCTCAGCACCGCACGACATACTGTTCATCCGCGACTACCGTCGGATGTGCCACAAAATCTCATTGCGCGTGAACTCGAAATGTATGCCCATACGAAGTGGTTATGGTTTGATTATTTCCAAATCAATTCCCCAATCAAACAAAATCAAACAGTGCAAGAAATTGGACTTACCAGGACGAATACAATGGATGTGATTGATAATACCGGAATACTTGCAATTTGCGAATCCGCACGTCTCACATTTGATGAATTTTCGAAATCCATCTTTTGCAAAATTATCATTCTTCTGATGATGTAATTTGTGCTTTTCTGTTTGGGTGGGTGGCGGGGTGCAAAAAAGGGGGCAGTGTGATGAAGCAGTGGTGAACGATATATATATATATATATATATATATATATAATACTGAATATAGTATACAATTTGTGTGATTCATTCCACAACACTTGTGACAAAATTCTCTCTCGCATGAAAGTATCCTCGGGAATTTTCATTTATGATTGAACTAGCATGTCCACCGGAAGTTGACGGATGCTTTCATTCACCTAGAGCAAGACTTGAAACATGGCAGGATCATGTTGTAACGAAAAGAAACCTATATCACCCAAGTACGTTTACAGCTGCTTCCCCATATTTTTGAAGTTTTGAATGTGGCCCGGGGAAGACGAGTGAAATTGAGTGAGAGTAATGGAAGATCTGATTCTATTGCGTGGATTCGCAATGTGGTGGGTGAGATCCAATTGAGTCGAAACAGCTGTCCGGTGTTTCGTGGCTTTTCAGTTCAGGATTGAACGTACCATCACTGTGGATAAAATACCGAAACTAATTGAGAAATGCATTCTCCCATATCATATTATAGATACATGCATACATGGATGCATACATACATACAAACATGCATATATCTATTATTGTTATTATTATTTGCATTACACGTGAATTTTTCCGAGCACTTATCGTTCTCCATGTCAAAAAACATTGTGCAAATGTCAAAGTTCTAAACAAAATAAAATTGGATTGTCCAATTTGATACCACCCAAGGATCGATTGGTCGATAGAATGATTTGTACGAAACAGATATTTTGTTATTCATATGTCGACTATCTGGAATTTTTCACTGTTTTGGATCATTAATATGTTTGACACCCATTGGTGTACACACGCAAAACAGGAGATCACTTCACCCGGTTAGTAAGCATGCGGAAAACAAATCTACTGAGTCATTCCTCCACTTTGATAGCAATGACACCCAAATATTTCCAATTCAAGAAAAACTACGATTGGTATTGTAAACGGTTTCTCGGGAACCGGTGAACTTACCTGTATTCAGTACAAAAACGGAAGCAGAAATCTGTTTGCACAATTTATCCATTGGTGCTACCGTTTTCAACTGAATATTCCATTTCTCCAATCCAGCCCTTCGGATCTCACACCCATTAAGTCGTGAAGTGCAGACACGCGTTTATATACATGCATATATATATGTATATATATGTGTGTGTATGTGTGTGTGTTTGTACCAAACGATAAAATTTAAACAATTGATCGTGCCTCCAAAGTTCACGCGGTGGATCGCGGTGGGTTCTAAGGAAAACCTGTCCCGGCAATCAGCTTGCATACTACCTGGTGGCCAGCCCGAATCCACGCTCCTAGGGATAATGACAGCGATCGATTCACGACTGCCCTGAAGCACTGAGTGTGCCTTGTTTAAGTCAACGAACTCATGGTCACATATCATTCCAACCTCGAGAAGGTTCTCTCAGAATCCAAGTTCAAATCAGATGATTTTCACAGTATGGTGAATGTCAATTTGAGATGAGAAACTGAATAATAACATCATCATCATCGTACAGCGGAAATACAATGAAGCGCACTTAATCGATCAATGCCAAACTCATAATGCATACAAGTTAG